AAAAAGGAAAAAAAAGAAGAATCTGGAAAAAGGGGTAAAAAAAAAAAAAAAAAAACTAAAATGGAGGGCAGGGATTACCGGGAATCTAGACGAAGGCTTCCAAAATGCTTGGCCCGCGGCCCCTCGAGCGCCATGCCTTCGACCGGGTAAGCCAACACCGTCGTGCCGAAGATGAAGCCCTCCAGGAATTCTTCCCGGCTTAGCACGCCACCATCAATTCGACTCCCGACAACCGGCGTTATCGTCAGTTGCGGGATAGCTTCGTAAGGCGAAGACCGGTACAACGAGGGTTGGGAAGAAGGAATTGATCGCCGGAAGTCTTATTTTGAGTCAAACGGCTACGACGACGCTAGAAGAGGAGATGGGGCGAGGAGTTTCTTTAAGGGCAGCCGCAGCTTCTCCACCCTTAAGGAAGTCGTAGACCGGCGGGAAAGAGAAGGAACATAAATTGTGAAGCCGTGAGGCCAGGGTGAATAAAGTCGGGGGGAGAAGGGCATGCGCGTAAAAGTAAAAAGGAAAAGCTCGGACCATGGGAGGGATCCGGCGGCCCGCGTTCAGCTGCGCGTTGGGGCTGCCGCGATCAAACCGTCGCCCCAAACGGCGGAGATTCGCGGGGGGACGCCGCGCCGCGCGAAAAACTCTCTCCCAAATTGTCAGTTGCGGGATATCTCTTATAATTATATTATCTAATATTAATCTTCTGTGATTTCTAATATATAATCATTATTTTTATACTTAATATAATAATTCTCACCTCTTTTCTTACTTTCAAATTAAGAGATGATCAAATTTGAGTTTTAATAAAAAGATATTAATTCCTTATAATTGCTTGCCCATTCAATCATTTAAAAGAACTGCACAAAGTTTTGATTATCTCAGGAGGAGCGAACACAAAGTAACCAAAAATTTTGAAAAAAAAATTAATTTTAAATTTATAGATTAATAAATTACTAGCAAAGGTTCCAAATTTCAAGCTAATAATTTAAGATGAGATGAATATGAATAATAAGAACAATTAAAATATTTTTGAAGAAGTTCAATGACACATTTAAGGAAAATGATGCCCCCTTTGCATCTGTTTTTCAAATTCTCACTCAAATTTTAAAATTCATAATAAAACCCCCAAAACACATTTTTTATTTTTATCAAAACATGGATCTCAAATAAAAATATAATTTATGAGAAAAGTATTAAAATAATAGGCATTTATATGCATACCATATGTATTAGGCTGGAGTTTAGATTTACGTTAAATAAGATTTATTGAATTTGATAAATATGAATATTTCAAATCTGATAAATTCAGATTCATGAAATCCAATACATTTGAATTTATTAAATCCAGTGCATAACCAGAAGAGCGAGCTTGCTACGAGGGAGTTAATTAAATTTGTCTTTTTTTATTTTGAAGTTTAGATGAATTTAAATAAATTCTGTTAATAGTATGTTGCTAAACACAACCTTAAGATGTATGCGAAAATAGAATTTTATTGATTAGATATGTAAATTCATAGGAATTTAGTGGCCTTCCTTCAAAGTCACCGGACTGTCAATGAATGAAACTGAAAGCTTCGTACTCTGAGGTTCGCATCGCTCTCGGGGTTCGTCGACGACATCCAACTATGGTATTCGTCTAGGGCTCAATTATATGCATCTCTCGCTTATAGATTGATTCTTCGTTGTTTTCCTTTACTATCTGTGTTTCTGATTCTTTGTGTTTTTGTTTTGCAGGCTGATCTACAGCGTAAAAGGTGATTTCTCGGCACCATCATCTCCTCAATCTAGGATCCTACTTTTTATATTTTTCTGTTAAGTTTTTCTATGACGTGGATGTCTTAAAGTTTGCGGTGCGTTTCTCGTTGTCTTTGCTTTTCTTGGCGTTTGTTCATGTTTTGTGTAGGACCTATTCTTCTCCGGAATTTATGAAGTTTCTGAAGTGGTTGTTGGTTTGAAACCGATCATGGTGGAGTTCTTTCCTTTTTATTTTATATGTTTTCAATATGTCCTTGTTAGTAATCCTCAATATTATTTTTCTTCAAGTGGATTGAATCAAAATTCAACAGATGTAAATCATTGTCATCTCTTTTTTTTTTTTTTTGAGGTTTTTATTCCTATTAACAAGTCATTCCTTGTGTTATCACTCCAATGTGCAAGCCTCACTACACAAAGATGCCACTTTGCTACTGATTTATATGGAGACATTATAAAGAATCATTAAGGAGGTTTTCAACTAGATATTTTAGCTAATTATTTTTTTACTGTTTAAGCTTTTGTGAACTCTTTTGATATATTTATTGCAACTACATTTTTCAAAACTTTGATAAGAAATTTTGCTTTCTCTTCCTTGAAAAGAATCAATTCAGTGGATGTTTTGGTTCTACTAAAGTTGATATAATCAAAGATGGCAAATTGTACCCACTAAAAATCTAGGCTTGCTATAAATCATGGCCAAGTTTTGGGAAGTGTTTTTTATTGCGTGCTGGTTTTGTCTGTTAAACTAGAGATACATCTGCTCACTTAGCTTGATATTTTTCCTGATTATAGATATTTGAGTAGTTATTTAGTCCGATTCCTTACTTCTACATTTGTGTGATATTAATTCCTTCAGGGTATTATGCAAGTACTTCGTACATGGAGCGTGCTTTAAGGGTGAATACTGTGAATTTTCTCATGATTGGAAGGATCAATCCAACAATGTAATATAATCAAATTCCCTACAAAAAGCTTCACCTTTTTTCTATTCAACGCCTAAAATTACTCTCTTTACATTTCATAAATTTTCCTTTGGCTAGGCATGTACCTTTTACCAGAAAGGGCTGTGTTCTTTTGGCAGTCGCTGTCGGTATGATCATGTTAAAGTTTCGAATGCACGTCCTTCCATGGGAACTGGATCTCTTCAAGCAATTCAGCCATATAACTTTTCTTTGAACGGAGAGCACAAGCCATCTTCTAGTTCCTTTATTGAGTTTTCAGATCAAGGCAAACACATTTTCCCATCCTCTAAGCCTGCTTGGAACCAAAGCCATCGTTTAAGTACCTTCGAAGACTATCCTATTGGTCATGATCCTGCATATAACAGCATTGCTGACCAACCAATCTGTTCTTTTGCTGCTGCTGGTAGTTGTCCTCATGGTGAAGGGTGCCCTCACATTCACGGAGATCAGTGTTCCATCTGCAAAAAGTATTGTTTGCATCCATACCGACCCGATGAAAGAGAAGAGCATGTAAAGTTGTGTCAGAAAAATAATCAGAATCTTGAGGCTTTACGTTTTAGTCAGGAAATAGAATGCAGTGTGTGCTTGGATCGTGTGCTTTCTGAACGGAAGTTTGGTTTACTTTCAGAATGTGACCATCCTTTCTGCATTTCGTGTATCCGGAATTGGCGCAGTAATTGTCCGTCTATCGGAATGGATGTCAACAGTACATTAAGAGCCTGTCCAATGTGCCGAAAGCTTTCATATTTTGTCATCCCTAGTGTCATTTGGTACTCAACTTCGGAGGAGAAGCAAGAGATTGTTGAAAACTATAAAGCCAAGCTCAAGTATAATGTTATTTTCATTTTTTTTATTAATATATGAACCATTTTCTTGTTGTTTCATGATATTTTTCTTTGGTATGTTATGCACACCATTGCTCTTTCTTTTGTATCATGTTAGCAAGGAGTTTCTAGTTGTGATGAAGAGCCAAAAACTTTGCTATTTTTATTGATGGAGAAATGTGCATAATATAGGAAAATAGGATGAATGTAATAGGCAAGAAATACTAATAAATTACCCTTGAATAAGAATAAAACAATAAATAGAAATCTATTTGAGGTTAACAAAAGCATTCCAATGATAACATTTCCAGTCTTTTAGTTTATTACTTTCTCTCATGATCAGCCCTTGCTTGTTACATGTATGTACATATATAAAATCAGCCCTTGCTTGTTACATGGCTTGAAAAATTGAAGTCGATTTCAAGACTTGGTTAACATTTTGGTTTATTGTTTTGGTAACATTGCTTCTTGAATAAAATTACAATGAATCTCAGTGTCCTTTATTTGTCATGAAGTACTCTTTAGCGTAACCATGATCAAAATATATGACATAGGTTGAAAAATTAGTAAATTAGTTTTTTAAGGGAGGGTCTTTAACCAAATCATTTCACATATAGAGTGCTACGTGGTTCTATATTTTTTTTAATGCTTAGTCTTTCCACCACAGCTTGTTTCATGCAAATTTATGTAACCAAACTGCCACACATAAAATATAAGGGTTCATTTGGGGGTTGCTTTTTTGCAGTTTTTCTTTCGAGACAACTGTATTTTATTTTATCTAAATTTTTTTTGTTGTTTTTTTAGATTTTTTTTGATGGAAAATAGCTTTGTTTAACTAATTCTACTAAAGTATGGTTGGTATAAGAAAGTTGTTCTACGACTGACTTTAAGGAAAACAGTATGTATAATAGCCTCAATAACTTTCAAAAAATCTACTATTCACATAATAGTTCTTTAACATCTTCTTTTCAGAAAGCTATGGCCACCCAAAGCAGTTCTATAATATTCAAATGTAAATTCTTATAATCAATGTTCATCTTGTTAAACATAAAAAAAGGTTTCCATCCTAGGCTGCCATCCTAGGCTGCCATCCTAGGCATATAGAAGTCTAGTGTTGTTTGCCATGTTCGCAAACATTACATTCAAATTTAGATACGTGGGAGGAGGTAGGAATTAACTCCTAAAGATAGTGATATGGAATGATGGTGGAAAAGAAGGCAGCAGAGCTTGTAGGAGTAAGATACGAGCAGCGTAGGTGCAAGCATAGTGGATAATGTGGTGGAAGAGAAGGCAGTAGAGCTTGTAGGGATAAGATATGAGCAGCGTTGTTGCAAGCATATTGGATCACAGATGAGTAGTTAGTGGAGCCGAAACGACTATGAAAGTTGCCTGAGTCGAGTGACCAAGCAAGATAGTGAGGGTATGCATGAGCAAGTTGGCAAGGATTTATATGATTTTTTATGATAACGAGAGGGAGTGCTTGAGGACGGTAATATCATGCTTCTATTAATTTTGCTTTGATACCATATTGAAGATGTGAAAACTTTATTTGGTTTTATTGATAGAGAACATTGCCTATTTGTAGGTAATTAGAATGAAATACAGCAGTGAATGAATAATGCTAAAATTATCCTCAGCTATGTGGATCAAACCGTGCTTAGATATCTAAAGGTTAGCTGGCTAATCCAATTTTTGCCATAATACAATTTTCTATCTTGTAAGTTCCAATAATTTTCAATGGAGCGACATAAAATGGAGCCCATAGCTTAACTGTAAGGCTAATTTTGCATTCTTATTAGTTTAGGTGCGCTCTGGAAGGCTTTTAATATTTGTTTTTCTTAGCTGTTGTATTGAAAATACCTTTTTGGTTGAAATTTCTTTTTTCTACTTTTACATCTTTGCTATTTGTGTTCATTCTAACAATCGGCTTTTATCTCCTCTTAAGTGTAGCTATTGGTCTTCATTCATTTTGATTTCTCAAACACATTACTTGAGCTATGATATTTTGGATTTGATTAAAAAGTATTCTGGATATTATGATGTTTTAATATGGATACAATTCTCCTTGAAACCTTTTTCATTATAATCGGAGAAGTTGATTTATATTTAAATTTGCAAAATATGAAGAAAATCTACCAGTTAAAAGAAATTAAGTTGTCATTATGAGATTGCCCTACAGATTAATAGGCACATTGTTTAAATCAATTAAGAAGTAATTAAAATTAAGTAAAAGAATTTATAGTGTACTGAAACAGAGTATGAAATTTGACATTTTATATGGCACGTTCCTATATTCAATATCTTGACCGTTTGTGATTGAGGATTTATATTTTGCTGGATAAGTCGTGATGCTGGTTGCTCAAACTTGTTTTATGTGGTATTTACGTAATTTGTACTTTTGCAGGACCATAGATTGCAAGTACTTTGACTTTGGAAATGGGACTTGTCCTTTCGGGACAAGCTGTTTTTACAAGGTATTTACATTTTTAATATGCACTTCTATCATTTGTTTCTTGCTGATGTCAGCAACTACACAGAAAAGTTAAGTCAAGGTTGGAGCATTAGTCGCTGCAGTACCATTCTTTGAGATATTATAAGTTAAACCTTGAAAGGACACCGTGATAGAAAAAGTAGATTAATAAATTATAATACTTATTTAAAAATATATTAAAGGAGCTTCCAAGGGTGTTTATATAGATAACTTCGTTATTCCCTCCTTTCCCAGTACCAACCGTCACTGCCTCTGGATTTTTCACGCTATTCTTTTAACACCGCCTCGTTGTTGACTTTCGCACTTGTGCCTTGCAAAATTAATTTTTGTTGCTGCTTGTATCTCTTGATATTCTCTATTGTTGTCTTGCGTTGTGTATGCTCTCTACTGCTGCGCTCCGTTTTGGGAATTTATTTGCTTTGAAAATTTTGTAATCCAAATTTGGAAGTCAAATGAATGAAAAGGAAAAAAAATCATGATGGATGTATTGAATCATGCTAATTTTTAGCTGATTCATTAATGCTTTGTGCGGTTTTTTTTATGTTTGGTTCTCTATAAATAGAACCCTTTTGGTGTGAGTGATTATTCTTGGGAGAAGACTCTTTGAACCGACATGAGACATGGTTCTTCTATTTTCGGATGATTTCTATCATTATGTTTGTTTTTGTAGAAATTTGAAGTGAATAATAATTCATTGATTTAATTCATTCAGGTTATTTCTGTATATACACATTGATTCTCCTTAATTTTGATGGAAATTAAAAATAAAGAAACTGTTTAAACATGTTTATATTTATTCAAAATTTGCATTGGATGAATATTATTTGAAAGGCATGAATAGAATGAAAAAAAAAATAGATGAAATAAATGAACAATCGTGGCTCATGTGCAATTTATTGCTTTTTCCATAGAAAAGTTCTTCCAAATCAATGATTAAGAACCCATGTGCAGTTTTGTGATGTTTCCAAAACTAGTTTTTTAAATTATATTTTACTTAAACCTGTTGATTTCCGACCTCAAAAATTCATGGACTTCCAAAGTGTGTTGTAGCAAACAAAATACCATGATTCCAACAAATCTTGGACCCATCTTTTCCTTTCCATGGTCTAGATAACATAACTGACTCTTGAATATGTCATTTATTTAAAGCTTGGAACATAGGCACTCAAAATTTCTGTGCGGTAGGGCTCTTGTTAAGTTGTCATCAACTTGACGCTAGTTGGAGTATAAACTAATTTGAATTTGATGCCATTTTTATCATTTTTATCATTTTTTTTTTTTTTTGATAAAATGGCAATTAATTTAAATGTATTTGATCTTGTCATGATGAAATATTTTAATTCAAAGAAGATTCTTGTTCTTTTTTATCATGCCCTTATGTTCCTTAAGTAGACTTTTGTTCCAAATTCCTTCACAAAATCATGAGGAATTGCATATAATTGAACTTTTGCACTACTCTTGGAGATCATAAATTATTCTTACTTCTCCAGTTAACCAATTTCTTTACACAAAGGGGCAATACTGGGATGCGGATCTCTGATCATTGACAAAGTCAACCCAATCTACATTTCAATGGATTTTCTTTTCTTTTTATTTAGAACAACCTTTTTCATGGAGTAGACTTTGGATACTTCAAAGCTATGTACATAGTCTCCATATTCTTCTTAGATTAAATTGGCTTGCAATACTAACATAGAAACCCTAATGTTCATATCTAAGTTTTACAACAAGTCTTTGACATTTTCTTTTATCTATTGATTTACAACCCAACTTTCCACATTCTTTTAAGAGATTAAGAACATGTTTTTTTGAAAGATTTTTACCACTTGGTTTAAGCTTTTTCGAAGAACGATCTTTTTTTAGGAGTCAACTTCAAGTACTTCTGAACTATGAACAAGGCCTCATATGATTATTCATAAAATAGCTTATAATACTAACATAGAATCCAATATCTGGCCTAATATGTTAAAGATACATAAGTTTCTACTAAGTTTATATATTAATTAATTTTCCTCTTCTTAAAGTTGTGATGCATACTCCATTGGTGTTTCAAGTATCAACTAGTTTATATTCCAACATTTCACGTTCTTGTAAGAGATCTAGGATAATTTTTCTTTGGGAGATAGATTCTTTCTTTGATTAGTGATTTGCATTCCTAGAAATTATTGAACTTTTTGAAGATCTTTGATTCTAATTCTATTGTTAAATTTTTCTTTTGGCCAGCCATTTCTTCTTCAAAATTTTCATTAAAAACTATAATATATCATTAACAATAAAAAATAAGATAAATACTTTACCTTGACTATAATTTTTTTCGTAAGGGAATCTAGTTGGCTTGACATTGGTAGAAGCCATGCATTCTCATTTTCAAGAAATTAGCTCTTTGTGATTATTTGAGTCCATAAAATGATCTTCTTAATTTGCATACTTGATCATTTGTTATTATATTCTTAAATCTTGGAGGTGGCTTCATATACACTACTTGATATGTTTGGCATGAGATGGCATCCACGTCTATTTTGTTACATGATATAAAATAAAGTAGGATTTTCAAAGATGCAATAACAAAAATAAAAATGAAAGCAATTAAGTCATTGCTCTAATCAAATGCAATGTCACTATCATAAGGATCTGAATTGCCTTTCTATGATGGGAGATATGATCTTGATAAATTTTCATGCCGGAGAGATAATTTGGATTTTTTTAAAATATTATATTATATTTGATTTTGAAAATATAGAATGTACTAAGCTTAAATTAGTAGATTGTGGACACTTATTTTAGCAAACTATAGCAAATGAATTAAAATCTGCATAGGCTGATCTAAAACATAAATTTAACAATTAATATTTATTATTTGGTGATTATGGGGGTCATATGCATGGATGATTTAAGCATTGTAAGCAACGTGAATGATTATCATGATAAGCTTATAAGCTTTGTGATTGAACATCATTTGACTCACAACTTTTTTGTTATGATTTGTTTTTCATTAAAGTTATTGCCAAATTTAGGAATGAATTATGCTAAAAGTTACCAAAAACACTGAGCAACGCTTTAATTAATTTTTTATTAGGTTTGTCAATTCGGGTTAGCAGGTGGGTAGGGTCCGGGTCCGCCCCGAAATTGAGACAACGTAAATAGTTTCGACCTGAACTCAACCCGAATATTATACGGTTAAAAATTTCTACTCTAACCTACTCGACCCAGATATAGGTAACCCAATCCTAATTCGTTTAACCCTTTAATATAAGAGTAACAACAATTTGGGTAAAAATTGAGTCAAAATCATGTCACTTTTGGATATGTTGGTTGAATTCGAGTAAATTTCAGGTCAGCGTGTTAGCTTCGTGTCATTTTCGGGTTGGTGGGTCAACCTGACCTGAAAATTAAATGAGATAAAAATCTTAGTTGGAACCCGACCCAAAAGTTATTCGGGTCAACTCGAACCCAGATTTTTCGAGTCGGGTTCGAGTCGATTTGGCATGTTGGGTCAATTTTTGACATCCCTAATTTTGATGTTGAGAAGTATCATGAACATTCTACTAATACTGACACACTTATTTATAATTGCGAAATAGAAATAATTTTTATCTCTATTCAAGCATGATATCAGAATGACTAGAATTGGAGCTTAACTTTGGAATCAATTAATAAATCACTAAAATGATGAAATTTTTATTGATTTGCTCATCCAATTAAAATAATTTGAAGTATAAATGGCTTAAATGATTAATAAACCAAATCAGTTAAAAGTCTCTGCAGAGATATCATTCTTCTCCACTTGAAAGTTAATTATAGTCCATTACAAAAATCATAAGTTATCAAATTTGACCCATTGAAGAAACTTTAATTCGTGAATATATTTTTGAAAATTAGCAGAAGATTACAATTACAATTGGACCATTTCGATAATGTATTTTTGATATTGAAGTAGATTTGTAATTGTAACAAGTGTCTGGATTTGATTTTGTTGAATTTGAATATGTACCCACGTTGGAATTTGCTTATAAACCCAAGGCTATACATAAGAAAGAATTACAATCCCAATTTAATGTTAAAGTTAAGATCAACTATTTGGGAACTAAATTTTATTTGAATCGAATTAAAGTGAGAAATTAACTCTAAACCTAAGATATTGGGTTTGATATCGACGTCTAACTTATATCCTATGTGAACATAAATTACAATCAAAATGTGAATCTAATCTTGAATGTGAATTTCCGCATTTAATATAATTCTTGATCCGTAGAAACCCTAAATCCAGATCTTAGCTTCTATATGAAATTGAATCTATGCTTGAATGATATGATGAACAAATTTTACCTATTGTAGTTGATGGGTCAATTGATCAAGTTGAAGAAACAGATTTTTGATGCTGATGTAACCCTCTAATACATACTAAAGTGATAAATCAATGTAAGATGATTTAAATATTGATGAAATTTCTAATAAAAAAAATTAGTTTTAATTTTCACGCTAGTTCTTCTCGAATGTTTTTTTGGGTAAATGTCCTCTTGAAAATTTTGACCAAATTGTCTGATGGCTTGTTTGGGATCAATTTTATTTTTTGTTTTTGCTATTATTTCTTCTTTTGTTTTTAAAAATATGTTTGTTTTGTATGTTTTTATTTTCTGTTTCCAAAAATAGATTAACATGTGTTTGAATGAAAAACAAAAAACAAAAGTAATCCCAAACGGCTCCTAAGGAAATACTACTAACATCTAGTAATATTATTTCTAGCTTCTCCATACACATTTTTTTTATTTCTTTTTAGCTTCTTTGTTGGTTAATTTTTCTTGCATTTGAGAATAATTTTTTCATGTGAAGTTTAAGATTTCTTCATATGCTAGCTGTCTTGATTGAAATATTTGTGGTGATCATGATAATAGTTTGAGAGAGAGATGAATAAAAATTTGAGCTAGTTTGAACCAAGATTGAAAAATTTTTAAATCTTTTGAACTAAACCATGTCAAACAAAAG